GAGAATTTTTTTTGTTTTTCTCAGCTACTTATCCTCATAAATTTAACAGATGCTGGATAAGATATTTAAAAATTGATAACTTGTCTTTGAGATTTTGGCAACATATGGTTAGTATAAATTGGGATTCCACAACCTGCTTAAGAACTTAGGATTCTTTTACCCAGAGCTTAAGTAGACCTCAGCCTCTTTGTTGCTTCTCTGGGCTGCTGGGCAGATTCATTTTAGTTCCCTTTTACACCAGCGGGCAGTTTTTTCAGGGTCCCAGTTTGTAATTGAAGTCTCACTTCTGGCTCTCAAACGTGGGGGTACAAGGGAAATCTCCATTCTGAGCCAATGTTTATGAGGTCACCATGATATCGGTTATTTTTATCTTTCAAGGTCAGTTCTATATTTACACATTTTCCAGCATTTGTATGTATGTGTTTGTAGTCTGAGTTCTGCCATGCTGTTGGTTTTTTATTGTATATAGGAAATAACTTAGCTTTTTGCATTTAAATTTGTGATCAAGAATTTTCTTAATTGTTCTATTCTTGAATTTCCTAGATAGACAACATCACTTGAATGTGTTTATAAAAATAATAAAAATTTATTGTTTGCCTATAAACAATATTATCCATCATTGTTTCATTATTTCACCTATTATTTCAAATTATCCTCAGATAAATCTCTGTGCCATTACGAGTCTCCACTCTGCAGGTGGAGGATTGAAGGCTTGGAGCTGTTAGGTGACTTGCCCGAGGTCATGTCCAGTGAGTGGGGTATGGGGTTTGCAGCTCAGGTACAGCCACTCTGAGTCTGCAGAGTTAATGCCCACTCCATGGCATCTCCCTAAATGATTATGATACATTTGCTGTGAAAAAAAAATACATTTTTCTGTGTTTTATTGAAGTGGCTAAATGTTCCAGAACAGTCTTCTAGTACAAACCTCCTGTAGGATAGAAAGTTGGCCTGCACCCAGTATCCAGGTGCTCCTCCACACTCCCAGTCTCACCTGAACTTAGGTTGAGGCCAGGTACTTGGAGCTGACCAATGAAATGGGAGCGAGAGTGAAACGGAGGTCTTGTGTTAGTCAGTTCTCATGCTGCTGATAAAGACATAACCAAGACTGGGTAATTTGTAAAGAAAAAGAGGTTTAATGGACTCACAGTTCCATGAGGCTGGGGAGGCCTCACAATCATGGCAGAAGGCAAAAGGCGCGTCTTATATGGAGGCAAACAAGAGAGAATAAAAACCAAGTGAAAGGGGAAACTCCTTATGAAATCATTAGATCTCATGAGACTTATTCACTACCATGAGAACAGTATGGGAGAAACAGCCCCTGTGATTCAATTATCTCCCACAGGGTCCCTCCCACAACATGTGGGAATTATGGGAGCTACAATTCAAGATGAGATTTAGGTGGGAAAATGGTCAAACGGTATAAGGGCGTGACAAAAGGACCCAGAAGCCAATGAAAGAGCTCCCAATGGTCAAAGCTGGAAACTTTGAGTAACAAAATAACTAAATAATTAATAATTAAATATGTAATGAAAATATTTAACAAATAATTAGCTAAATTATTAAATAATTAATCCCATGAAGATCGGATTATAATCCAAAGTATGCAACAGATATCCATGAGTCCATACAGATACAAATAAATGATTATATAAATAAATACATGGGGAAAAATAAACAAATTCCCCTCACAGCAGATCTCCAAATAATTTAGGTAGCCATTCTCCTGCAAGGAGATAAAGCATGCCTTCCTTTTTTAAAGTGTAGCCTACAGATGGTGAGTTCCAAAAAATACAATAGAGAAAGCGAGGGGAAAATCACTTTATGGTGGAGAAGCCTAACCAACACTGCCCCAGCCAGATGACCAGGACTAATACTAGCAGTGATAAGCTATGTTGATAGTATGTACTCCAGACAGGATGGGATGGGAATAGCACGTTCCCTCTGAAATCTTCCTTACAAAAACTTACCATTCCAGCAGGATCATGAGGAACACATCAAAATGTCAATGTCGCCAAAAACAAGGCAAGCCTGAGAAACTGTCGCAACCAAGAAGAGCCATGACTAATTGTAATGTGGTAACCTGGATGGGGTTTTGAGACAAAAAAGATATTTTAGGTAAAAATCGAGGATAGACCAAACATAGACTTTAGTTAATAACGATGTATCAGTATTGGTTAATGTATCAATAATTGTTATTGCCATAATAATTATGACAAATATACCACGCTAGTGTAAGATGCTAGGAACAATAAATTTTGTGTGGGTTATATGAGAGCTCTTTGTGTTTTTTCCAATTTTTCTGTGAGTCTAAAACTATTCTAAAATAAAAATGTTTATTTTTAAAAATTCATTAAGCATATCATTAGTCATCAAGGGAATGCAAGCTAGAACCACAATGAAACACCACTTCACAGGCACTTGAGTGGCATAAAAGACAAGGATCAGTAACACCAAATGTTGGGAAGGAAGTGAAGTGCCTAAAACCCTCATACACTTTGGGAGGGAGTGTAAAATCCCACAACCAATTCAGAAAACAATTTGATAATTTTTTATAAATCTAAAAAAACCCATTTGCATTTGACCCAGAAATTTCACTTGTAGTTATTTACCTAAGTAAAATGAAAGCATATGTCAAACCAAAATCTTGTATATGAGTGTTCTTAGCAGTTCTATTCATTATAGAACCAAACTGGAAACAACCCAATCAATGTCCTCAGCTAGTAGTGACTGGATAAACAAACCGTAGTCTATTCATGCAATGAGACACCACTCAGCAATGAAAAGGAATGAATGACTCATGCATTCTACAACACAGATGCATCAACAACATTATATTAAGCAAGATGTACTGTATGCTTCTATTTATGTGAAATTCTAGAACAGGCAAAAATAATCTGTAGAGATAAAAAGCAGATCATTGGTTGCTGGGGCAGAGGATGGGGGAAAGAGGCTGATTGCAAAGGGACGAAAGGGAGCTCACCCAGTGATTAAATTATTCTGTATTTTAATTGTGGATGTAGTTACCCAAGTCTACAAGTTTATCACAACTCATCATATTGGGTATTTGAAATGGATGGATTTTACTGTGTGTAAATTGTACCTCAATAAAGTTGATTTTTTAAAAACAAAAGCAACAAAAAATAATATTGAGAGTCTAATAGGTATTGCATTATTTATATCTTTTTTTTTTTTTTTTT